TAGGATGGACTGGTTGGATCTCCTTGCAGTCCAAGGAACTCTCAAGAGTCTTCTCCAACACCACAGTTCAAAAGCATCAATTCTTCAGCACTCATGTTACTAGTATGTAAAACGTGATGCCCTAGTGTAGCACACAATCTTCTAGTTTCTCAAGAGAAATTAAAAAAGTGAGTGTGGAAGTAAATCCTTCTCATGTTTAAACGGTAACAGTTAATGCAGATTAAAACAACCACAGGCACAATACAAACACCCCCTCAGAAAATAATCGCCTCAAAGTTTTTAAGCTGGCTTTGAAATCCCCCTCCCAGCTGTGGAAGAGAGATGACACCTCTCTGCTCAATATTGGTTTCAACAATTAAATAAAAGTTGTCCAAAAGTGCCTGGCGTGCAGCAAGTGAGTGACAAATGGTGGCTCTTGATCTGTTGCTATGGTTTTATTTATTTGCTTCTGGTTGCCTGGGTCTTCGCTGTTGCTGCCAGGCTTTCCCTAGTTGCAGCCGGGCTTTCCCTAGTTGCAGCCAGCTTGGGGGCGTGGGCTTCCCACTGGTGGCTTCTCTTGTTTCAGGCTGTCGGTGCACAGGCTTCTGCATTGCAGCTCCCCGGCGCGGAAGCGCAAGCTCAGTAGTTGTGGTCCACGGGCTTGTTGCTCTGTGGCAAGTGGGATCTTCCGGGACCAGGGCTCGAACCCGTGTCTCCTGCATTGGCAGGTGGATCCTTTACCACTGAGCTACCAGGGAAGCCCCGTCGCTATTGCTTTTATTATTGTTGTTTGGAATCATAACTTGTCTCTTAAAATGTATCTTATTCTTTATTTTGATGGCTATTTCACCTGAATCTCACACTCCTGCTATAATAGCATCACATCTAAGTAATACAGGGTGGGTGTTCAATACAAATTTGTGGCTTAAATATATTTGATTGATTTGGTGGGTTAGTGATGACCTATGTGTGTGTGCTCAGTTGCTTCAGTCGTGTCCAAGTCTTTGCAACCCCATGGACTGTAGCACCCCAGGCCCCTCTGTCCACGGGTTTTCCCAGCAAGAATATTGGAGTGGGTTGCCTTGCCCTCCTCCAAGGGATCTTCCCGACCCAGGACCCAGGGATCAAACCTGCATCTCCCGCATCTCCTGCAGCAGAGCAGGTTCTTCACCTGCTGAGTCATTGGGGAAGCCCAGTAGTGACCTACATCTATGTACTTAAAAGCGTTTGACATATTATTCAGTAGCATGTACTATACCATGGAATATTGTATTAGTGTTAGGATTCTGTAAGTTGTGGAAAATGTTGAGGCTAATTATAGATGATTAAGACTCGCCAGAGAGGATTTTCAGGCAGCTGGAGTCAAATAGTATGTTGTTAAAATAGATGTAAGATGTGTTTCCTAGGCAGATGGCAAGAGGAAGTTCACAATATTTTTCTGCCACTCGTGAACTCTGTCTGGCCTTTTCAGCATCCCTTTCCAATAGTCCCAGCATCGTCTGCAGGGCAGGAGAGGGTTGTCTCACAGGTGCTGTCTTTGACCCATCCTCGAAGCCGCCCTCACCATCTTTGGTTCTCCTTTCCAGCTCTGGGGCCACCCCTCCTCCCGTCCTGGCTGAAATGGTGCTCTTGGTCCCTGCCCCTGCAGATGAAATCCACAGGCATGCCCACCGAGTCGATGACGCGTCCTGTTGAGGATGTTTCTATCTGAGTCAAGGGCATCTTATCAGAGCAGAAACAATCGCCGCTGTATCCTCTGCTGGAGAAACAGTGATGCCCTGATGCTTTGTTACCAAAGCCACCTTCAGATTTCAGCTGCACGTTTACTTGTAATCCTCTCACCATCTACAGGAATCCTAGGGAGTTACACTGGAGCGAGGTCTAAGCATCAGCCTATGATGCTCTTCAGACAAGGGGGAAGTGGTCAGGGGGAGATACGGGGAGAAAAAGACACAGGAGCCCCGGAGACAAAGAGGGATGGACAAGCCTCATTAGCTGCAAGGAGACGTGGCTTCAAAGGGGAGTTGATCTCACTGATGTGCTGATTTCAACCAGGCTACACACTGCATCTGACACAGACAAGCACAGACAAGGGATCATTGAACGGAAACTCAGAGCTCTGTGGCTTAGACACGGGTATGGGGGAGGTCTGGCAGCGTGAGGGAAACTGATGTATCCACCGGGGCCAGCGCAGCTCTAGAACCTGGCTGTGTTGACACGGTCCTTCTGCTTCCCCTTCCTCCCTTCAAGGGAGATCAGAGACGGTGTTTTCCAGATTTGAACATCGTGCATTAGGACCTTAAAAACACCCAGTTCAAACCATTTGTTCTCCCAGTTACAAAATCGATACACCAGTTAAGTAATTTGTAGAAATCACTTAACTAATAGCAGAAATAAGACTAGATTATATTAATAGATCTTTGATGTTTTTCATTGAGGACTTCATCCACTACATCACTGTTAGGGAATTTTTCTGATCCTTACTTCAGAAAGGGTTTGCTCAGAAGGATAAATGAAGCAAACCAGAAAGAAGTATACTAGTAATTGTGTTGTATTACAATTTTCTATTTTTGCATGAGCTACCCTGAGTACCTCAGCATGAACAGCAGTGATTATGTTTTAATCCACTAAAGAAGAGGGTAAGAAAGTTATTCTTGTTCTGCTTGTTGCATGTTGCTAATTTTTAAGAATTTATTTTTTATATTAATTGGAGGATTATTACTTTACAATATTGTGAAGGCTTCTGCCATATATGTTTTTAGTTTTTTAAATATTTAAATTAACCACTTTATAAGCAGGGTCCACCTGCAGTCATGGTGAACAGTCAATAAATATGGCTGAAGATGTTAAAAATTAAGAATAAATTTCATCATTGTAATAAACATGGTGAGGAAAAGTATACACTATACAACAATGTATTTTGAGCTTAATTCATTCATAATTATGTATACTGATATGAAAACAAAGTGTGTGCAATCCATTTATAAGATATACCATGAGATATGAAATCTAAAAGGCAGGTCTGTGGAAATGTACAGATCTGCCTTTATGACAATGCTTTAAGTGAGTAAAAAGAGACTCATTGAAAATGTAACAGTCGGTTTGACTTACTTTTCTTATGGTTTGACCTGCCTACAGTACATGAATAATTCTTCCCTAAGGTACAGAGGAAAATACAGTGCTAAAGGGCGTTATTTATTTAGAATTTCTAATTCTTTGAAATACAAACCACAAACGCAAATGCTATCCTAAGTGGAAAAGAAAAAGAAATACGGGTTTAAGTACAAGGTGAAAATAGTTCCATGCTTTTGCATGTTTCTTGAGAAAGTCAATTTCATGCCTGGGTACTGTGTGTATAGAATATGTTTCTGGCTAACAAGAACAGATTAAATAGGACGGGATTAAAGACAAAATGACTACTGGTTTTCTTACACTTTTGTGTTTTAAGATGATATAACACTCATTGTAAAGAACCAAGCAAAATTAACACATACAAAGAAGAGAATAATGTCGCCTGATAATCCAGCACTCAGAGATAATCCTCGTTTGCCTTTTGGCAAATGGTCATCTCTCTATGATATGTGTGTGTATGTACAGACACACACACACACACACACATAGATCTTTACATCAGTGGAATCTTGCAAAATGTGATCTTCAGAACCGACTTTTATACTCATCAATAAATGCACCCTTTTTATAGGAAGATGGGTGAGTTCAGCCATGACTGTGTACGTCTTTTAAACTTTCTATTTTGTATTAGAGTATAGGTGATTAACAACGCTGTGATAGTTTCAGGTGCACGGCAGAGGGACTCAGCGATATGGGCAGAGCATCCATTCTCTCTCCAAGCTCCCCTCCCACCCAGGCTTCCATAGAACATTGAATAACATTGAGCAGAGTTCCCTGTGCCCATGAATGTGAATTTGTAGCATCCTTTTAAAACTGAGTTTCAGTTGTACATGCTTCCAATGTAGTAGCAAAGTGAATAATACTGAGTAATATGATACTGAATGAAGATATTTTAGATGGTGAGTATCAAAGAGCTATGACTAGATACTGTTAACTTGAAGGTAAATTTGCATGTTTGTTACATATATTCTTTTTTAAGTTTGTATTGTAAAAATTAAAATACTTGTACGGTGATCACCCACATACTACACCTAGACTCATCAATTTTTAACATTTGGCTGTATTTTCTTTGTCTGTCTGATATCTACCAATCTCTCAATTTAATCTCTTTGATATTTTATTCAGAAGCATTATAAAAACAACATGACACTTTGCTATTAAAGACTTCAGCCAGGGTGTATAAAAATTATTAACATTCTCCCGCACTCACATTTGTATCATCAGGTATCACTACCACATACGTAACAAAATGACCATACAATCCTGAGTATCAGACTTTTTCTAAAAGAAAGTCAATTTTCAAAAGCTAGTAGCAAAAAAATTCCCTTTTAATTACAGATGGACACACAACTGTTTAGAAAAAAAAATTCCCTTTCAATTGCAAATGGACACACACCTGTGTACAGATTGGCACGGTCTCCTTTGCATTCAGTTTGTTGTGGACATCTAGTATCTACAATGTGTCAATGTTTGTGAGCTTCAGCTGTTTCTATCGTATGTCCAGAAGCCAGGCCTGTTTGTGGGATTCAGCTCTTTATTCAGAAACCCGAGATTCATGTACATCCTTTAGCACTACCCCAGAACATCAGGCAGAGTATCGCTGTATTCAAACACAGGACAATATGGACCTGGTTCCTGTGTTTCAAAAACACAAAAGTCAAAATAAACGTTGAAGAAAAGCTGGCTTATTCATTTGGATCTCATTCATTTGGAACTGTGAGCATCAGGAGAATAAACCCTACAGAATGAACTGGGTCCCTTCAGCAGTCTTTAATCAGGTGACTAGGATTAGGATATATACTTTCCTTCATCATATGCTTTAGACAATAAGTCATTTTGCCACTGGCGTTGACCTGTTCAATCTCCCAGCCCCTTTTTCTCTGCGATCATCACTTTTCATGGAGGGGACACTGGGCGCCATGGTAACAGGTCAGCGGCTCGCTCCTCACTTGTATGTTGCTAGGCGTAGCAGACATTTTCAGGCCACTCGAGGAGCCCTCAAAGTATAGCTTCTTATTTGAAGGGGGAAGGATCCCTTCCAGAAGTAGGCTGTGTGTGTCAGCTGGGGGCAGGGATGGGTGTGAGCCCCAGGGGTGTGTCGGGGGCTGCCTGTGGGGCCTGCCCAGCCCCGCTCCCCTCCACGCGCCACTGGAGCGCACCCCCAGGGGGGCAGGGCCAGCGGCCCGCCGCTCCCGGTCCGTGCAGCCGGGGAGGGGCCGCGCAGCAGGCGGCCCTGTGGACAGGGAACCCGCGAGCATCTCAGCTGCTCTTCATCGCAGGGGAAGTGCTCGCAGGGCCTGCAGGGGCTGCTCCAAGGAGCTCTGAGCTGTGGGGGGGGCAAGGCCTCCTGCAGGGAGACCCAGGGCCACCTGCCCATTGTTCAGGCCCCCCCGGGCCTCCGCTTCCCTCTGCTTCTACCTCAGCGGCAGAGTCACGGCTCTGTGGCCCCAGTGTTCACAGCACATGCTTTGCAGCTGCACCGCCGCCGCGGGGGGGAGAGGGAGGGGGAGGAGGGGAGGGGAAGGGGGAGGAGGGGAGCCTTGCACGCTGAGCTCACTTCCGCCCACATCAGAGGCAGCGAGGAGGTTGTGGGGAGCTGCGCTTGAGCCCTCCATTAGCTGTTTCACATCTTCTAGACCGAAATGCCACTTCCTACGCCATGTGCTGTGGGGGCCACGAGGATGTGGTGCAGAGGGACCGGCCCTGAAAGTGCTCAGTCGGTGGGGAGCCATCCTTGCTCGCCAGGCCTTCTCAGGGACCTTCTGCAGCGAATGAGCTCAGGTCCTCCATCCCTCCAGGGATGTCATGACCCTGGACCTGTTCCATGGACTTGGAGGAAAAACAGTAAAGGAAAGACCAAAAGAGAGACGGAGAGCATATATCAACCGAAGGCTTGTTAGGAAGGCGATAACATAAGGAACATAAAAATCAAACAATACAAAAAAGGGAAGTTACCAAATTGTACATTCTGAGGGAAAATGGAAATGAGTTGGTAGCAGAGAGGAAGAAAAAAGGAAGCATGTATAAGACAAAACAGAAGCTGGGATTGAAGGCCAATGGGGAGAGGCTTTCAGTTACCCACATGCGCCCCACGGGCTGCCCGTCTGGCTGGTACAAGCCTGGGAGTTGCCTGGGAGTTTTCCATGTCACCCCCTCCCGTTGACAGTCTCTACTGCGTTGAGGAAGCATCCTGAGAAGCTCTGGCTGCTGGTTCCCACCCTCAGCCTGGCGGCCTTGCCTTGATCCAGGCTCTCATCCTGGTGACGTGAGGCTTGTCCCCCAGCCTAAGTACTGACAGATGGGTTTACCAAAAGGAAATGTTCGGGCTGAACTCCAAACCACGGGTGTCACATCCAAGGCCTTTCGTTACTGGAGAAGGGCCCATCTCTCCAGACCCCTCCCCTGCACACAGCGGCTCTGTGACCTGGAAACCTCTGCAGGTCCTCAAAACAAGGCGTTTTGCTGAGAACTGGGGGCAGGCGGGTGTTCCTGCCGCCCCGCCAACTCCCTCTCTGCTCAGGGTACCTTCTGCTGCCAACTTAGGCACAGTTATCACTTCCTCCTTCAGGCCGCCGTCTTGTTCCCCTGCTATCATACTGCTTTTGAATTATTTGTTGTTTCGTCTGTTTTTACTACTAGCCGGTGAGCCCTGGTGGCGGGGACTCTGTGCCTGCCTGGTTTTGTGTTCCTGTGGCCTGTCACCGATGCCTGGAATATCCTTGATGTAATTCTGAAAGTATTGCGTAAAGAGTAAAGAAATGAATATTCCACTGCCAGAAAGGCTTTTCTCGTGTTGTGTCTCAGGGCACCCTCTGTTGCAGCTGTCAAAAAAATTGGACTGTAATTAAGGCAAAGAGGTAATTTGGGGGCTAACAGAAGATAGAACACTCAGGAATGTTAGTTTGGCTGCGCTGGGTCTTCCTTTGCGCACCGGCTTTTCTCTAGTTGTGGCGAACGGGGCTCCTCTCTAGCTGCAGTGTGCAGGCTTGTCGCACTGGCTTCTCTTGGGGGGCGCGGCTCCAGGGCCGGTGAACTCAGCAGGTGCAAGGTCTGGACTCTAGAGCACAGGCTCAGTACTTGGGGACCTTGGGCTTAGTTGCTCTACGGCACGTGAAATCTTCCCGGCTCAGGGGTCGAACTGTGTCTCCTGCATTGGCAGGCGGATTCTTTACCCCTGAGCCAGCAGGGAAGCCCCTGCATAGCTTTCAATGTGATGTTTAAATGGGAACTGCTCGTTTTGATGATGGAGTTGTATCTCCAGCACCAAGAAAATGACTTACTTTGATCAATACAATCAAAATCGTTGACTCACAGGGCCCAAGGGAAAGGGGTATCTGTGAAGACAGGCTGCTGAGATGTCTCCAAGTTTTCGAAAATATTCAACGTCACTTTTCATTGCTGTCATCCGGTTATCCGTCACTGATTAAGCAACGATTCCCAAAATTAGGGCTTAAAATGGTTTCTTACTATCATATCTCATGCTCTAGGAACCAAGAACTTGGCAAGCGCACAGCCAGCTGACCCCTCTTGCCCTGATAACTGGGGCCTCATCTGGGATAACACACACGTCGAGGACTGGAGCAGCCGAGGGCTGCGTGAGCGTCTTTCTCTCTCTCCAGTGCAGCCTTGCAGCCTGTGGTGTCATGAGCTAAGAACGCCCATGAGCTGAGTGAGGTTTTAAAATGTATTAATGTTTTAAAAGGAATCTGAAGAAGAATAAAGCCCCATGAGGTCTGAAAGTTATATGAGATTCAAATTTGTAGCCATAAATAAATGTTCATTCACACAGCAACACACACTTGTTTAAATGTCATCTGCTCTGTGCAACACTATATCCTGAAAAAAACAGTCACCGCTTCGCCCTTTATGGGAAAATTTGCTGCCCTTTAGGGTGAACGACCTCCACATGTGGCTAACATGGGCTCAAAGCTTCAAGGGTGAGCGTTCAAGAGACAGGGCGTGGAAGCTGCCATTTTCCCAAAGTGTCTCCTCTTGTTCAAATCTTGCCAAGGATAGTGTGACCTCCTTCATCCCTCTCACTTGGCTACAGCCTTTTCCCAGAAGAGGCGCTTTCTGGAAGGTAGGGGACATTTGTTGAATTATTTTCCCCGAAGTCAACGAACATGTGTGCAATTGCACTCCAGTTGTTACACTGATGACATCTCTTTGCCTCCATTATCAAGCTTGAGGGGGAAAAAGCTCATTCCACCTTGCTTCATCTTCAGTTTGGAAATGAGGATCCAGTGGAGAAGTGGAGACTTTAGAGTTCCAATTGCTCTCGGCGTTTGGACCCCCTTCTAACAAACGAGAGCTTTGTGTTTCTGGCCTTACCATGGGGCACATTCACCCAGTGAATAGCCACCCAGTTATTCCCAGCAAGGGTGACTGGCTCCTCTTAAATGGAGAAGCCACTGATGATTACGCAAGTCCGCTCGGCTCCTGCTGCATGCCACATCATGGCGAGATGGGGGTTGCAGTTTTGTTACCTGGTCACCCTTTCCTGTGTTCAGAGTGGAGGATGGAGCCTCAGTGTTATTCTGGAAAGTGCGAAGGTGACTTCCTTGGGCGGTTTTCCCAAAACATAGTACTTCTCCCCAAAGAAGCAAAGGTTGAAACCCCGCAACTGTCTATTTATCTGAGCCAACTGATTAGATATGAAAGCAAAGCCCATTGACACAAACACGGGTGGCCCTGGAAGGCCTGGTGGCAGATTCCTTCAGATTAGGGATTCTCAAACACTTGAACTGGCTTATAAAATTGTTAGTAACAGATTAGAAAAGACGTGCTTGCAGATTTTTGAAACTCATGTTTACACAGTTACAGCTTATTTTGGAAATTGGACTAAAATCTCATTTGGAAAAAGTTAGCGTTTTCATTTTTGCCCCTCTTGCCACTATTGTGGGTGTTAGTTGCTCAGTCGTGTCAACTCTTTGTGACCCCATGGACTGTAGTCCGCCAGGCTCCTCTGCATGGGATTCTCCAGGCAAAGATACTATAGTGGGTTGCCAGATCCAGGGGATCTTCCCAACCCAGGGACCGAACCCGAGTCTCCCACATTACAGGCAGATTCTTTACCATCTGAGCCACCAGGGAAACCCTTGCGACTATTAAGGTTCATTAAAAACTGCATTAAATTTTTCCCAAATGGCACAATGCTGGATTTAAGCCTCTAAATTAGAACTAAAAGCAATTTGTTATTATGTTATCACATTATCTATGGAAGCTAACATGTAACAGATAATATTATAGGTAGAAAATGATGGAGGATTGCCCTTAAATAAAAAGTAAAAGAGTGGTTGACTGAGAGCAAGTAAGTGGGAAGCTCAAGAATAGAAACCAGTTCTCTGACCTGGGGATCAGTGACCATATCCCAGGCTGTGTTCTCCAAGGAACTGACATTTCATACACGAGACATGGGGCTAGATGCTCAACATTCGTTTCATTTACTTCATGTTCCAATTCAGTAAAGTCGTGTTTACCATTTTATACTAAGAAAGCTGTGCTAAGAAAAAGCACCATTACATGTAGATAGCAAAGTAACTTTTATACAAAGGTCTCAAAACTTGGTGGCAGCTATTGCATTTTTAGGAAAGAAAGCTTACTCCAAAGTGTAAACTGTCAATATATCATGCTGTGTCTCTAATAAAATTATATATGTTAAGGTTTCCTCACATGGGAAAAATAAACGCACATCTTCCACTTACTCATTTAATCCTCTTCTTGTTCATGTATACTGCCACGCTCTCCTTCACTGATGTGAACTGCGCACTTTCCAGAAGACAGGCACTGGCCTTCCCTGGAGGGCCAGTGGCAAGATTCTGCACTTCCAGTGCAGGAGATGCCGGTTCGATCCCTGGATCTGGGGTCCCTCCTGCCGTGTGGTGAGGCTAGAAAAAAAAGAATAGGTGCTGTGCCAGGCACCACTGATTCAATGGTGGGCAAGGTGAGCAGACCACCGCCCTTATGGAGTTTACATCCAAGTGGGGAACATGGATGAAAGTCTAGGAAATAAGTGGACAAGTCAAAATATCCCAATTACAGAAAGACGTTACAAAGGGAAAGACGCTGCGGCTGAAATAGAGGCGAGAATCAGAGCTGGGGTCTTCTTTAGGAAGGATGGTTTGGGAAAGCCTTTCTGATGGTCAAGTCATGATGTGAAAAGGAGTGTCGTGGCCTATGCACAGGTTGGGAAAGAAGTTCTGGACGTGAGGCAGAATGAGAGAAGAGAGTTTATTAGGGTGGGAGACGCTGTTGGGAC